CATGGTCCGAGCACTCTGGCTCATCACAGGGGAAGCGGCGCAATGATTAAAGAGAAGGGCTGAAAGCAGACGTTTGCAACGAAGGCCGCAGACGTCCTCTGGTGTGTGTGTCCTCTCTGATAACCCCCCTCCGCTCGGAGCGCCAGGCAGAGTCAACATGCTACATGGCCGTGATCACAGGCCTACAATAGTCAGACTGGGAGGAGCTCTCCCTCCACACACCAGCGAGCGTGAGAGGCCTGCCAGAGTGACAGCAGTATGTTCAAGTCTTACATGTTTGACATACGCTGTTCAGTAGAACCAATGTAGAAGTAAAGGCTTCCAATCAGCTGCAATTTGAAATAATATGCCAATAAAGGTTAAAAGAATACTTTGGTGAAAAATCTAATTCACACAAATTTCCTCGTTTGGTTTCCAAAGATTGCATTTTTAGTATTGTAGTGGAGCAATAAAGCTAATGTAGCTAACACATAAAGAAAGCTTATACATTACCGTTAGCACTGTGCGAACAACAGGCCTAAATCGTTACACATTTACCTAAAATCATGTCAAGTTATTACATTTCAAACAGCTTTGCTTATGCCTTCTGATACAGTATGACATACTGTTATCTATAAAAACATACATCATTTCTGCCAAAATTCTGATGCTTCTACATTTTTTATCTCCATATTTATGTTAACATATTTTGGACACTAAACGTGATCTGGAGGTATGATAAAGGTGCTGGCAGCCTGTAGCAGAGAGCAACGATCATGCATAAGAATGAAGCATGCTAAATGGAACATCTCCACTACTGAAAGACATGTATTCAGTCTGCCTGTCTAGCCATTAGCATTTTAAGTGACTTAGGCATGACATGGCACGTCACTACGTTTTGAAAGAGCAACTACATTTGGGGTAAGAGGAAAAATGTGTAAAATTTGGGTATTAATATCAAAACACAGCTTTATTTAGTTTTACACATAAATTACAAGGCTAATGTAGCTAACAAGTAATGGATGTCTTTGTCACCCCAAAACAATTTGGGTAAAATAGGCTTTAATTGTATTACTCTCATAGCTCCACGCAAAACTAAAGAAGCAAACTTTCTGTGCACCAAACATGTATTCAGGCATCAAACATGCCAGCCAACATTTTTTGTTTTGTGGTGAATCATTACTTAAAGAACTGATGATCTATATGTCTGCAAAGTTAAACTCCTAAAAAGTGAAAGAACTCTGAAGTCTCTGAAGTGTAGCAAGCTGTGTTATATATTATATATACACTATATTGCCAAAAGTATTCGCTCGTCTGCTTTTACACGCATATGAACTTGAGTGACATCCCATGCTTAATCCATAGGGTTCAATATGATGTCGGCCCACCCTTTGCAGCTATAACAGCTTCAACTCTTCTGGGAAGGCTTTCCACAAGGTTTAGGAGTGTGTTTATGGGAATTTTTGACCATTCTTCCAGAAGCGCATTTGTGAGGTCAGACACTAATGTTGGACGAGAAGGCCTGGCTTGCATTCTCCGCTCTAATTCATCCCAAAGGTGTTCTATCGTTGAGGTCAGGACTCTGTGCAGGCCAGTCAAATTCTTCCACACCAAACTCGCTCATCCATGTCTTTATGGACCTTGCCTTGTGCACTGGTGCGCAGTCACGTTGGAACAGGAAGGGGCCATCCTCAAACTGTTCCCACAAAGTTGGGAGCATGAAATTGTCCAAAATCTTTTGGTCTGCTGAAGCATTAAGAGTTCCTTTCACTGGAACTACGGGGCCGAGCCCAACTCCTGAAAAACATCCCCACACCAAATTCCCCCATCACCAAACTTTACACTTGGCACAATGCAGTCAGACAGGTACCGTTCACCTGGCAACCACCAAACCCAGACTCATCCATCGGACTGGCAGATGGAGAAGCGTGATTCGTCACTCCAGAGAACACGTCTCCAAAGTTGACGACTTCTGCGCACTATGCGCCTCAGCATCTGCTGACCCCGCTCTGTCATTTTACGTGGCTGACCACTTCGTGGCTGAGTTGCTGTCGTTCCCAATCGCTTCCACTTTGTTATAATACCACTGACAGTTGGCTGTGGAATATTTAGTAGCGAGTAAATTTTACGACTGGACTTGTTGCACAGGTGGCATCCTATCACAGTACCACGCTGGAATTCACTGAGCTCCTGAGAGCGACCCATTCTTTCACAAATGTTTGTAGAAGCAGTCTGCATGCCTAAGTACTTGGTTTTATACACCTGTGACCATGGAAGTGATTGGAACACCTGAATTCAATGATTTGTATGGGTGTGGCAATATAGTGTAAGTTCATGCAAATTACATTGTGTCAAGGATTCAATTAAATGTTTTTCCATGACTCCTATTTCAGGACAAGGTTTAAAAAAGAGCCATGCCATTTTTTGCCAATTGTCCAGCAGGTTGGTATATGTGTACTAAATTAATGGAGATCTTTTGACTAGGTGCCTCTTGGTGTCACTTCTAGTTAGTTTATTGGTCGCTGTAGATATTTCTAATTCAGCACAAAGAAAAATAATTTGTCAATAAATGTTGCATTATGGTATATATGATCATTTATAAATGAGAATTTAGCATGAGCACTGCTAGTTTACTGCTGAGCTGCACATACTGTGTGAGCTCCACTGATTTTATAAGACTGGAGGGTATGACGGACAAAACTAAGAGAAAGACTCTTCTTTTCTCTGGAGCTAATATTCAAAGTAGTGTTTACTGCAAAGAGAATGTTTTTTTTGGGGGGGGGGTATTACGATGCAGTTATCATTCTCCAAGTTTTATAGTCAAGCAGCTTGCCAGCTAAATAAGAATGTCCTATTATAAATATGACTACCGGATTGCATTCAAATATTTCACAACACACTGTCCTTCTCAAGGACATCAGCTCAATACTAGAAAAAATGAAAAAAAGGTACTATTGACATCAGAAAAGAACAACAATTATCATAGACAGGTTTGATTATCCAGACAGGAGCAGATAACTCTGTCTTATTAAACTGATATCCACCAAAAGTCACACATCAAAAGAGAGCAACTTAAAGCTACAACAAAAGAGAGATATCACCGAACACTGTGGTGCAGTTTTCTGTAGTATATGTCCTGATCAAGAGGTTTCTTTTACCTCTGATCTAAATACAAATGCTTTAATATTGAGGACTGGTCGACAGTGAGTACAATTTGATATTTATATTTCCACAGATAACATGGCCACACAGTGCACATTCAAGCACATTAGTAAAACCAATCCAATTTAGGTAAAACATGCTTGGCTGCCAAATACTTTGAACTGCTAAAATACAACCACATCACACAATGTGACACTTCGAACTGATATGTTTTGCTTTTTGCATCACTTTCTTTTCTGAAAATGATCATTTTATGGTTTCTTAAATATTTTATTTAAGCATTTTGTGTCTCTCTTACAATAATAAAGTACTCCTTTTCTCTCAAGAGTGTAATAGGTGAGCTCCTACATTTTACATGCGGTTAGTTTAAGCATGGTTTGACAAAAGGCAGCTAGCTTAACCATATTCAACATAAATGCATTGCAGATATTACATGTGGCAGTTTTCACTTTTCATTTTAAAGTATTTCCACATTGTAGACAAACCACTTGTTAGCTTCTAAAAATGTGCCTCACTGCACAAGTTGTGGGTAATGCCCATTTATGTCACTTCTATGACATTGCAGTGGGGTAAAACAGCCTAAAGAGACCATATTCGACATTTTTCTTCTACTTTTCTTCTGTTCCCTGAGGTCCACATTTGTCAGGTTTTATGTACAAAAAAACAGGATTCATTTTCAAAAGACATTTACTAGTCTCTCTTTGTTCTACAGGATTAAACAGGATGTTTTTGTTATGGTGCCTTTAAGACTGATGTACTGTATGTAAATGAGGTCTATTTTGAATGGCTGTCTTGTATTGTGGCTCATTCAAAAAGCAGTCTGGGCTGAAAAACTCCTTCCAACTTCAACATAAATGGGCAGAGCTCTAAAGGCCAAACAGGTGTATTTTTGTAAATGTGTGCCATCACACCCACAATTAATTCAAAATGGGGGGCTTCTGGAGCTTGGTTTCTATATATGCCCTGTTTTAAATAAAATCTAAAGAGCACATTCCAAAATTTGGATAGTGTTTACAAACTAAATCAAACTCTTTGTTTGAAAAAATGAGTAAATTTGAGTTTCCCATGATCTATGTCCTTTACAAAAGGATGGGAATTGGATCAGGCATAACATATCCAATACCAATCCATTAAAATATGTGTTGATTGACTCCGGTAAAGAGCTTTCAGACGGACCATCCCTAATTGCGAAAATGATTAATAAACAGTATACTGTGCAGCTGTAAAACACAGCACTGGGGGAAAGGCATCACTTTTACTTGGGCTCTGCTCCAGCATTACCATGGTTGTGCCTGTGAGCTGTTGAGTGTCAAGCCATCGCCTGGTGGGATTCATCTCATCCACTGCTTCCACCCTATCTGAAAGGCCCAACTTATCTTCTCTACGAGCTGTGGTTGGCGGAGCGGCTTTGCATGGCCACCGCCAGCTGCCTTAATCCGGGTTTCAGATACACTTACTCAGTCTCATTCTCTCTCTCTCTCATTCTCTCACAGAGCCGCAGGGCTGGAGCCAGAGGCCAGCAGCCCAACAAACTGGAGCCCAAGCACTCTCCTGCATTCTGAGACTAAGCTCCTCTTCAGTGTATAGCCACGTGAGCAGCAGGCTTGTTTACACACAGCTGGTGCTGTACATACCTGAGCCATATGGGAGTCAATCACTCACACACCTCAAACACCTCCCCATATGGCCTTTGTCTCATCCACGTTTGCCATTTTCAGTTCAGCTAAGCTCAGCCAGAAGAACTGCAGTCCAAACTGACAATGCCTTTAAAATAAATGGAGCAATGACGCTATAAAAAGCAGTGCATCAGGTCAGCCCCACTAGCTTAGCTCTAAAGACAAAGAAAACATTGGCCTTACCTTCAGACACTTGCTGGACAGCTGTACGATGGCCAAGGGAAAAAAGAGAAAAACACATCAGTCAACAAGCACATATTGATATTTATGATTCAGTGTCTACAGCTGTTGAAGGTTAAAGCTGAGCACAACGGAAAAATAAAGATGACTTAGCATGCATTAGCAATTAATCAAATTTGCAGTCATATGCAAAATTTGAGCACCCCTGGTGAAAATAAGTTAATAGATCCACTACAGAGAACAAACTCCTGCATGTTTTAACACACAATCATTGTTTATTTGCTGAATTGAACATATTGGGAGAGTGTGGCATGTGCAGAAGTTATGGCATGTTTTATATTTTATGTTCTATTTTTATAAGTTATCAAATAAATAGAAAACACACACTAAAATTTGCATTAAAATGCCATATTTGAGTTTCTTCCATATTGAGGATATGTTCATTTATTTTCACTTAGAAAATCAACAAAACATGTAATTTTACTGGAGGTGTTCAAATTTTTGCATATGACATTGCATGTGTCAAAGGACCTATATTTTTTCCATGAGGTCCACTTATGATTAGCCTGTGGGTGTGGGTTTATGTACCAAAAACAGTAATGCAATATTTATTTTTGCATTAATTTTACATTCTAATACATCTTCCAACCTCTCATTATCACTTAAATTAAATAAGCCTCATTACTGTGTCTTTAAAACTGATATATGTAAATAACATCGGTTCTGACTGGCAGCCCCATGTTGTGTCACATTCAAAAAGTAGTTCAGGTTGAAATATTTCTTATAACTGTAGCATAATGGGCAAGCTTCATTATAGGCTAAATAGACATATATATGAATTCAGTTTTCCATGATATGGGTCCTTTAATTGTCATTGTCTAGCATGGGCCCCAGACATTAGCTTGTTATACAGAGATCCAAAAACTGCTGAAATTCACACCATGTAATTATCATGAGAAATATCAATGGTTGTTTACTAGTTTGCTAATCATGCAGACGAATGGAGACTTCTCATCACTTCTGGTGAACTAATCACAGGTTTCCAGAATTCCTAATGACTTTGAAAAGTAAGCATGGTAGTTTAAATGTCACTCATTTCCAAAAGTTAAAGGCTGATAGATATGTGGTGGGTCATTTGACCAAAAAGCTCAGATGATTCCATCTAACTAATACACTGAAAAAAAAAAACAAAAATGCAGTTTACTTTACTTTGCATTTAGAAGAAAAAGCGTTCAGCAACATTCACTGCATGTGTCACTAAAGTTATTGGCCAGGACTTCAAAAGTACAAGAAAACAGCAAAGTTAGTCCAGAAAGCTTGGCATATCTTTGGGGACAGCGGAACCAAAACACCATGACTAGTCCAAGTGTAAGTACTTGGTAACACTTAAGTTGAGTGTTTTTTTGCAAAACTTTAAAAAGCTCATAATTGCCTCTCTGAAAAGACCCACTGTAGTGCAAAGGCAAAAATATGACGTTGCGATAAAAATTCATGCGCCACTCGTTTATTGTTTGAGTCATAAATCAAGCCATATACTGAAATGGTTTTTTCATTATATTGAGTTTAGAGGCTCATTTATAGCAGACGATTAGGATTATAGGAGCTCATAATGAAGACTGTTCTTTGAAGGTTACAGTCACAGGCTTAGAGATGCTATGATTAAAGCTATAAATATGGCAGGCTAAGACAAAGGTGCACTGCCGCATACATTAAGGTGCATCAAACAGTTTAATCAAGTACAGCAGGGAATGTGGTGTCTAAATGTTGGGATTTTTTTGGCCTGCCATTAAAGACTCATGACTCTGCTGGCAGTAAAAGCTGTTCTAGACATCATCACTAGCAAATGGCAGCCAGGTGTGCCTCCACAAATGCAATGCGGCCTGACTCCCACATCTCGTTCAGTGAACGTTCCCTTAGAGCTGCTTATTAAATGGCAGAAACATAGCCATTGTAAGACCAACTCATGCAGTCGCTCAGCCTAGCCAGGCTTGAAAAGCTCTTCATTGTAAAATAACAGGAACTGGAGAAGAAGCCAGAAGAATCAAGAGTTTGTGATAAGACTGTGTGTGTTTGAGAGCAAGAGAGAGGTGTGTGTGTGTGAGCATGTTGGGGTGGTGTTAATGGTATCATGGTGGTGTGAGTCAGATCAGTGTTGCTTGTTTGTGGCTGCGATGCCATTGTGATAATGAGAGGAAAGTGGCTGTGAGGAGGATCTTACAGCTCAGCTCTTAAGGCCGGAGGGCAGCTGGGAAAACATTAAAACACTAATGAGCAAAAATGGACAAACTCAAGCTCCTCAACCACCCAGCACAGGTGGATGCACTTACACAGCTGCCCTACAGCCAATTAAAGATCAGTCTACACAAACATTATGTCACTATCTCTCATGCACTCTTAAAAATAAGGTTTCATAAAAGGCTCTTTGCTTGGTTGTACAGGTCTATAAAAAAACTTTAATTGGTATAGAATAGGGCTGCAACAAATATTCAATAATATTCAATTAATATTAATTTAATAATTATTTATTTGAAAATGGAAAAGCCTTCCATGAGACTTTTGTTCATCTAAATACTAGCTTATCACCAGTAGCACACAGATGCCAGCTTTGCACACTGGAATCACTGTAGATTGTGATCTGGCACAGCTTGTGAGACTCTCGCAATTTTAGGCGACAGTATCAGTTTTAACTCCAGGTGCATTCCCAATAAGCTTACTACTACTCTAGATAGTTTTTTTGTCAGATGCCCAAAACTTTTTTACTCTTGCACTACATATGCTTCAATATTCTCTCTCTCTCTTTGTTCAGGGCTGTCAGATCGAGCAGGGTCCTTGGTTTAATACAACTAGCCATGAAAATAAATATTTACCAGTGATGTTTTTTTCATTACCTTGTAGTATTCTGTTTAAGGTCAAAAAAAAATAAAAAAATTAATAAATGCAATCCAGCAAAAAAGTTATTAGTGATTAGTTAATTAGTAATTATAATATTGCAATAAAAAAATGATGGGTAATATTAAAAAACAACTACAACAAGACTACTATCACTACTACTATTACTACTACTACTAATAGTAATAATAATAAAATCAGCAATAAGAATACATTTTTCCCCACTGAGTTATTCAAATGAAACATGTCTTGAGGTTTACTTATTTTTATAAAATATTTGAATAGTCAAGATAATATTGATAATATAAAAATGAAAATATTAAATAGTTGCAGTCTTGGTATACAGCCCTTACATTATGTGGCAGTTCTTTAAACTTCAAAACGATTTTCACATTCGCACATCTTTTTTACAAAAAATTGCTCTTTAAAGAATCATTCATTGAAAGGTGCTTTAGAGAACTGGAGATGGTGTATCAGTATTGCTGGTATCCGTATCGGGCCAATATCTGCAGAAAATGCTGGATCAGATATCAGGGGGAAAAAACAATGACTCTAATCCAATCCTGTAACAAGTCCAGTCTGAAGTAGCATGGGTTCACATAGTGTTATGTGATGTTGTTAGTGATGTGTTTCTTCCTGTGGGGTTGTAGTGTTTGAGTAGTTTGAACATGATAGGCTACTTTTAGATGCTCATCTTAAGTGAACTGCTTCAATTAAAAACAGCCCATTTTAAAGCACAGTACTTTTTTAAGAAAAAATATTGGATCTGTACTAGACAATATTCAAGTTTCAGTATTGGAATAGTAAAAGGAAAATAATAAAGTGGTGTCACTTAAAAATACCCTTTTTGGCACCTTTATGTTTGGTAAATGTTGTTATGGTGGTAATCCCCATCATGAAGCCTGAGGCATATCAGTATGTATGAGAATTATTAGCTGAACGTGCTGATCTAGGATCAGACTGCCTGTCTATGCTATTCAGGCTCTAGTGATCTAAAGGCCTCACGTCTACTCTGAAATACCAACACAAGTGCTGGCTGTTATATCAAATATACCATTATACCAGTCACACAACAATACTGATTTATAGTTTTAACAGTATTGATAGATAACACAACTTAACTGCAGTGCATGTCATTTCCTGAGTGTTTCAGACTGTTTTGAAAGAACAGTTCAAAACTAAAACATGCAAAACTAAATGAACTAAAGGGTTTCCTTCTTTTCTGTCGTTTCTGTCTAGTTTAACCCCTTAAAATCCCAGACTTATTACATACTAAGGCTTATTATTCAGTAACTACTGGTTGAGCTATTCGTAGGTTATAGAAGTGTGTAATAAAACTTTAAACCATATAAGTGGTGAAGTTTACAATACTCCATGAGGTTCCCTCTGATGTAATTTAAGAGAAGCAGGACAGAGCAAAACAGATCAATAAAAACAAGATATGGCAGCTTTTTATGACATTCCCTTAGCATAGAGTATCAGTTCTTAGGAAGTACAGGTTCATTAATTTAATTAATTCAGACTTAATATTATCTTATGTTGTAATATATTATGAAAATATTAAATACTACATTTTATCAATACTAAATGTAATTCAGGCTTTTTCTCTTACAATCTTCGTTTCTGAACAAAATACCCTCAGGTATCAATAAGCGTTATAGCAGGCGGAAGGCACTGACTAGCGATATTAGTCCAGAATGGCTGTGTTTGCTGAAAGCACAACAAAAAGGAAGGACAAAAGGCGACACAAAACCCACAGCCTGAACACTGCCCGATTGCCTGGAGCGAGACAGTAAATCTCTTAATCACACTGTGTTTGTGCGAGCTGCCTGCTTGGCTGAGGATGGCAGGCCATGCTAAACTGTCAGGCACCCATAAATCACGAGGGCCGCTTTAACCTTTACAAGCACTCTCCGTGGCTTGCTCAAATTGGTCACAGCAACAGAGTTCCCAGAGAATTGTAATGAATTAAGTGGGACCACAAGAGCTGACATGGTGACAGCGTCTGGAGCTTCTCAAACACGCCACGGCTAAACGAGCATGCTAGGCTAACGCCGCACAGGTTATTAGCATGATCCCAGCCTGTCATTCAGATAAGCCAGAGTGCCGTGTCTACTCTTGCTGCATCTTGAGCG